GAACGTACTGTCCGACTCTCAAATCTGTACTGCCAAGTAGGTAGTTTCAACGATAATAAATGCTGCCTTTGAAAATGAAACAAGTCAAATTTGGTCCATAATCTTAATATTATTATGTACATAAATATATTGATAAAGATTTGAAAATGATAAATAGTAAACATTTCTTTTTTAAAAAAACTACTCATGATATAGTTTAGTAATACAGAAGAAAATTAAAACTGCTAGGTAAGTGCTGCCCCCCATATTTACAACAAAAATATGAAAGTAAAATAAATTTAGGAAGATATTTTAGTGTGTATACCCTGCAAATCTGAAAATCCTGAATTTGTTAAGAGCTCCAGTACTTCAGAAAGGGCGAGGTTGTCAGAGCAGATCCTCCCATCTGTAGGAGTGAGAAAGAAACTGCTGAGTGGTAGAAACATCAACTTCATTTTTCTCATTTTGATTTATGTACAATGTATCTCTGGTAACAAGTCCACATGGGAGGAGTCATATGGGTGTAAAATAAAGTTTATCTTTTAAAATCTGGGATAAATGATGTCACTTACACGATCATTTAGTATAAACCTTTGTCTTCCTCAATACATATTTCAAGAGCACTATTGCTATATTGCAATTACTAAAGCAGTTCTCAGACATTTCTTTTCAAAATTCATTCATAGAAACATCAGTCCATACAATATTTAGCTCTGCTTTACACACTCATGTTGTGTTATATACATAAACAGTTCTGGGGGCCACAAGAGGCAGACTTCTTACATATTTGCATTTATATTTCAGGTGGTTTAAATCCTATTAGGGTGCACTAATATGTTTTGAAGCTTCAGTATGGAGAATTATGGTAATTTGTATAACCAAGAATATACAAAATAAAATTAGAGAAGCTTTTTATACTCAGGAATGTCAAACAATGGTCATTTAAAACAATTCTCCCAAGTCCCCTGATAAGTAGTTACCTAACCCAAGAACAAACCAAGACATTTACCTAGACTCTGCTACACATCTTGAGGGGAATGCAATAAATACAACAAATACTCACAAAATTACAAATCTATTCCACTGGTCTCCACTGTGGCTGCACATTAGCAATGGTTTGGTAATACATTAAAAAGAAAAATACAGAAAGCCCTGGCCAATGGTTCTGGTTTAGCTCACACTGTAATGTTGTGGACATCAGCGCTGTTTAAAAAGCTCCCTGGGTGCTTCTAATGTGCTTCCAAAGCTGTGAATCACTGGTTTTATGTAATTAATCCACATTCATTAATTAATTTTTACAGTGCTGGGGATTGAACTCTGGGCCTTTTGTATCCCAGGCAAGTGCTCTACATTCCCTGTTTTAAATTTTATTTTGAGACAAGGTCTATGTAAATTCCCCAGGCTGGCCCAGAAGTGGTGATCCTCCTGCCTCCCCCTACCTACCCAGTAGCTGGAGTCACAGGTGTGCACCACCGTGTCCCCAAATCCTCACAATTTTTAAAAGCAAGCAACTGCCACACTATTACACTTCAGAAAATACTGCTTGAGATGCAAAATACAGACATTTGGCCCTGGAATTCCATGGCTCCCATGCTGGAGAGGACGTGCATGATCTCCACGTTTTCCTGTGATGGTGACAAGTTTCACCTGTGCATTTCCTGTGCCAGAAGGGTAGCAGCAAGGCTGGGGCCTTCATGAGACACGGACGCAGCAGAGACAGCAGGGTGAGTGTGCAGAGATGGGCTGCGCTGCCACGAAGCCCGTTACTTAGGCACCTTGGGAAGACAGTGGAGGAAGTGGCTAACTTGCCTCGGGACTTCCTTGGCTCTCGCTCTGGGGAGAAAGCGTGACCTACTTCGGCTCAGTCTCCGACTTGCACCTCCCGGACAGGAGAGCAGGTCGCCCAAAGTTCCAGACTGGGGTGGGTGGGTGGGCTTCTGCTTCCACCCCCACACCTTGAACTTCTCCGGTCTCAGGCCAGACAGTCTGCAGACACGAGCCTGCTCTCCAGCTTCCCATGCCCACAGCTAACCGCTACAAGATGTGTGGGTAACAAACAGGACCCTCAGGATGGGACAGCTTTGTCTTTAGGTCATGAGATTCATCTGAAACGATTCTGCTTCAACTAAAATTGCAGGCTGGACAGCTTTGCAACTGAGCAATCTATCTGCATCACCACGCTCCTCCTAGCAGCCCGGGCGCACATCTCAGAGCTCAGCTGACTCTTCTGAACAGATCAAGAGCACACCTAGGGACACCAGGAGGCTGAGGGCTTCGAGTCTCCCTCCAAACCTCAGAACAGCAGCTCACAGGCAAAGAGTGCCCCTGAGATCAGCCAAACCATGAAACTTCTTCCACTTACTGTGAGACTGAAGAATGTGAGGGACTTTAAGAACGTCCTTCATAAAGCCAAAACCTGAGATCAGTCACTATAAAGTACTTAGAGGCTGTCTGACTGAGATGCTGATGTGTTTTGTTTTAATGCCACACTGAGATTATCCAAACTTTCCCACAAGCTTAAGTAATCACACCAGGCCCCACTCTCTGCTGTCCGGTCTAAGAAGCAGCAAGTCGCATTTCCTATGGCAGCTCCCCAAGTGGACCCCCTGTAGAGCCCAGCAGGGCCGCCTGGCGGGGACCCTCCAGCCTACCTGGCCACTAGCGGAGCATCCCTCAAGGTGCTTGTGTGAACTGCAATTAAAGCATCCTTTACTTAAGGGACTCCAAGAGTTCCTTTAAGTTTAGAAAAACACTGAATTTATAAAGGCTTTCTTCTCACTTGAATGGGATCTGAAAATTAACTTGTGTAAAAGTGGGAGTGCAATTTTCATAATTTGTTTATTCCTTACTTAGATTATCACTATAAACTCTCATGAATTCTGCTATATCCTACCAGATGAACTGTAGTTGCATTTACCATTGATGTGGGTTTCTTGTTTGCTTACAAAGGTAATTAAATCTTACCTTTCAGTTAAATAGATAAAGTCTTATTTAGCAATCATATAAGAAGCAGCTACTATTTCCCTTGTGAACAGTTTTCTTACAGTCTAAATATGTGATCCTAGAATACATGAGCCTGTTTAGCAGTGATTGAAACAAAAAAATAGAAATTAAGATGGAGAGAACAAAGAGCCACTCTATTCCCCAAGGCTGGCTCTTCTAATTTACCTTAGTCGCTCCATTTTACTTTTTTTTCTTCCTTCCAAAAGGCTGATAGGCTAAGAAGTTCATTTTCTTGATCTTAAACAACTCAGTTTTATTTCCTCTGCTAGGCTGTGATGGGGAATTATAATGCTTTCAAAGTAGAAACTGTTCCTATGGTCTGTGCACCAAGGCTCTCTTCATCCACAGAGTTTAAGATTCACACAGTGAGAACGCTCAGACCCGACTCAGATCTCAGAGCAGCTAGGACAGAAGTAAAGAACTGGGCACAGCTAACCCTGAAAAGTAGATTTCCCAGGAGTGGCCAGAAAGGGCCGAGTGGTTCAATATAAGATACAGGACAGGTGGGGTTAGAATTAAAAGTTGGATGAATCCATTTTATAATTCAGATCATTTTCCAGACTGAGGCAAGGTTGCCACATATTTCTAAATTGCTTTGTAGGTTAATCACTGCAGACACGTAAACATTATATATTTTTCATAATCAATGCAAATGGTTCACACTCACAATTCTAAAACTAAAGTATACAATGTAAAGTATATGAAGTACAAAACATATACCAGTATTCTGCCTTATTTTTGTACACTAAAACAAAAAGTTCCAAAGGAAGTATAATCCAATAAAATATTCCAATATTCATATTTTGGCAATGAAAGCATTCTATGATAGTCTACTGAAGATACGAAAAGAATGCATGTGTCAGCAAATATTAAAACCACGTGAAGTAATAAACTCACTGCCTAGCCATGAGACCCTAATTGTTTAAAGCTTATTTACATAGCTTAGTGATTTCCCAGCCATCAGCGGGAACTGGAACTTTCTTAATTGTAAGTATTATGATCTAAATTATACTACACTTGATCTTAACCAAAAGGCCGAGAAGCGATGTGCTGAGTCAATTATAAAGCACATTCTCTATCTCTTGCACTATCACTGAAGAAAGGTATTTCTGGTCAGTCAGCAACAAGGACAAGGATCATACTTTGTTTTCACTAAATTTTTCTGTTCTGTTTTTAATTTATATTTTATTGGAGCCGTGGATTTAGCTCAGTGCTGCTGCCGCCTGCCTCACAAGTGCAAGGTCCCGAGTTCAATCCCTGGTACCAAAAAAAAAAAGGTTATATTTTATTACCAGACATAAATATGTTTCACAAGGTAAACTAGTTTGGATTTTTCTACTGGTCATATAAATTACCATTCTCTTTTTGAACGAAAACCAACACAGGAAATACAGTACTAACTTGTAATGTAATAGTAAATCCAACCCTACTATAACTATCATTGTTATAGTTCAAGTTCATGAATGCAGACGCATCTCAACACTGCTGGATGTTGTGCTCCAAGCTGTGCGTGTGAAATGAACTCCATAAGAATTAAAGCTGCTGCAGAAGCATAGTTTCCAAGTGGGTATCTTCCCAAACTTCTCTGTACAGGCTGGAAGACGGTAGTGTACTGCATTCTCAAAATACTTAATTTACACAAGTACCTAACAGTGATTCCTATGATTCTGGATCTATTTTTCTATAAAGTGGTCATGACAGAAGTACACATTTTCAAAATCTTCTGAGATAGGCTAAAGAAGAAGCTTGAAGTACAAAGCAACACAGACTACTTTAAATCTTAGGTTTCCTGTCAACTACATAAAGAAAGCACATTTTAATGAACTACACTACTTTACAGAGCTAGACGATAAATTCAACAAACATAAGACTTTAATGCACTGAAATGCCATCGCAAAGCTTACACTGGACAAAGGTGGCCTGCGATTTCAAACATAAGCCTAGAAACAAAATGTAGTTTTAAAGTCTTCCAAAACAGCAAACACACACTCATATGGAGGCCAGAATAAATATACTACCTTTCTGTTAAAAGAGGCGACCTCTGGCTCAGTCCAGTCTGCGGAGCCCTGCAGCAGCCCACAGCCTAACCAGCTGCGGAGGGGAAAGGCCCGGCGGGAGAGGCCAGGCTGAGTGACGCTGCGGCAGGCTGGCCGGCCGGTCTGCTGTCCCGGGACAGGACGCGCGTTCCCCACTGGCCCTGGCCCGGCAGGCAGGAGAGTGGGTCTGCTCCGCGGTAACAGCTGGCCTCCTGAGGGGCTCGGTCCCAGCCGAGGTCAGCAGCCAGGATATGAAGGTGACATGTAATTTCTAGCCTTCCTCTCCTCCAGGGAAACTGCGCCCAACCAGCGCTGTTTTCAGTTATAAGGTCCTTTGATCTTTTGGATTTAGAGTTACTTAGTAGAGTAAAGCCATGTTAGCTGATATTTGCTTGCTTGGCCTAACGTAAGTGTTGCAGATTCAGTTTTCTGACACACAGGGCTACTACATTTAAACTAACACAAATAAACATGGGCTGTGCTCTTTCCAAGTTCCCGGGATTCTTCCCTCTTTCACAACTGGCTCTTGAAACCCTCCCTGCTTTGGGGCAAAAGTTCATAGTTCTGTAAGACACAGCATCTTCTTACTAAACAAAAAATATTACTCAAAGCAGTTATAAGCGTATTTCTTCAATTTTCCTAAACAAAAACAGCAGTTTGCTAAGTGGATTTAATACTTAAAAAAAAAACAAACAGAGATGGTCCTAATAATACTAGTATTTAAAATTCTACAACTACAACATTAAAAATCCTGTTTTAAAAACAACATTAAACAACATTAAAAACATTAAAAGCCCTACAAACAAATGCTTTAAATTTACAAATGACATACCTTAACAAATAACGTGATAATTTATTGAAGCCATGAAATCTAAATCTTCAGGACTTTTAAAAATAAAAATTTGCAGGCCAGGGCTTTAGCTCAGTGGGTTTCGCCGCCTGCTGTGCAAGCGCAAGGACCCGAGTTCGATTGCTGGTACCCCAAAAATTAATAAAAATTTAAAAATAAAAATAAAAATTTGCAAACAATCCTTCTAGTAGGATATACTGATTAATAATATGTAGAGTGTATTTCAGAAATTTCATAAGCACAAAGAAAAAATTAGACTTCATTAAAAAAATTTTTACAGATCAAAGGACTTAACAAGAAAGTGAAAAAAAAACTCATAGAATGTGAGAGAATATTTTCAAATCATACCTAAGTGTGTGGTATCTGGAATATGTTTTAAAAGATTCCCACAGTGTAACAATGTAAAAGAGGCAAAGTTTTTGAATAATTCTCCAAACAAGATATGAAATGGCTATTATGCCCATGAAAAGATGCTCAACTTATTAGTATCTGAAGGAGACACAAATCAAAACCACAATTGATACCACTTTACCCCTAGGATGACCATGATGAAAAAGAAAACAGAAAAACAGCCAGGAGCACAAGTGCTGTCATGGAGCGGAGACTGGAACCCTCTCAGCTGCAGGGCTGTCGGTGCTGCGTCCACTACAAGGAGCTCTGCAAAACATCCGACACAGAACTGCCCCTGATGCTCCCAGGACACTTGCTCCTCATCATTTGTGGATCTCGTATTTGTGAATTTGTCTAGAAGCTGTCATTTGGCCACGCTAACTACAGGGGGACAAACACTGAGTCGGTGCAATTCAGCCACTAAAGTAACAAAGTGGTAACACATGTTGCAACAGAGATGAAACTGAAAGCATCATGCTAAGTAAAAGTCAGAAGCAAAAGGCCACATACCCTATGATTCTATTTATATAGAATATCTAGAACAGGCAAATCCACAGAGATAAGAGGTGAATTAGGGGTCACCAGGAGAGGGGTGGGGTGTGACTGCTAACAGGTATGGGTTTCTTTCCAGGAGATGAAAATAAAAATGTTCTGGAACTAGCAGGGATGGGTGCACAGCCCTGGGAATACACCACAAGCCACTCTACATTTTGCTATAATTTATATCCAATTAAAGCCAAGAAAGCCATGAAGTTCCATCATGGTGCAGTGGCCCTCCGCTCGGCACACAGAAGCCCCTGGGGGCCGTGGGCCGCAGGGCCGGGTCCCCTCCCCGGGGCGCTGGAGCTGAAGGACTGGGGCAGCCCTGGGACTCATTTTCTCCCAAGTCCTTAGTGATGCTTTCCTGCGGGTCTGGGATGCATGTTGGAGACAGTGTCCTGCAGGGCAGGAAGATGCCTTTCATGTGTTGCTTCTAAATTCATCTAAAACAGAGCCAGTTTGGGGGAACAAAAGCCAAGGAGAGGGAGGAAGTGGAAAGGAGAAATATTTACTTGAAATATATTTTAAAAGTCTGAAATCTTAAATATGCTGATTTCATGTCACCCAAAGTATATGCCAAATACTATAACATCTAAAAAACCCCCAAGACAAAAAGGAATTTATGAAGTAAAAAAAAAAAGAAGGTGCTGCTGCACCGGGGATTTAGCTCAGTGGTTCCTCTGGCTGCCTCATAAGCACAAGGTCTGGAGTCCGATCCCTGGTACCAAAAAAAACCAACGAAAAATTAAGGCACTGTCACATTCCTTGGTCCTTTGCACAGTACTCTGGCTCAGTCTGTTGAAGAGGTTAATTCTATTTCCTTGTGTTTGTCCTTGCAAGAAAAGCAAACAAAGGTCCTAGAGTTGTGGATCCCATAAATTACTTTAAGAAACTCCTTAAATTAGTGAAACCAAAGACCTGAATCTTTACTCACAAACTTGTATTTATTTACATTTTTTAGCAGTTACTGCTTTGTGCATCTAATCACTTTATTAAAAACAGGAGGTCCATGTAAAAACAGACAATTCAAAGTACACTTCTGGTATTCTCACATGGTACACGTTACTGCTTCATAAAGTCATCATGGTTATTCTCAATCATTTCAGTATGTTTCTCAATGTATCGTTCAGATGCAGAGGAAAGTGATAGCGACTTTACGGAGTCCTACAATTCTCTGAAAGCAGTGCTTCGTGTAAAAGGTATAATCCAGGCATCTTTCTTCATTACTGGAAGCCAGGGCACAGGGGCAGGAGCTGGCAGGAGAACCACACTTGGCATTTTTTAAAGAGTGAAGATCACAGCTGCTGACTAACCAGTTTTCTCCCAACTGAGCCTCGACCGAAACATTAATTCCAGATTTTGTTATACCTATTAACTAAGTCCTGTCTATTGACCTTCTTTCTTAGTGGTAGATGTCAGAATTCTATGAGTGAATAAACGGCGATCTAAGGTAGACAGGAGACTAATGCTTCGGCGAGATGATTTTTCTTTCAGGGTGCACAGTCAAGTTGATATTTAGTAATCTGGAAGCGCAAGTTCAGAAACTCTAACCTAGGACGGCTGCACAGCCACATTCTGCCCAGCACTTAGTGCTTCTGAGGCTCAGGTTGCCTCCGGAAGGGGACGCTCCTTGAGCCACTGCCCAGAACAGTCTGGAGGCGCAGTCTCAGCTCCACTCCAGGCGGGGGGTGGGGGGACCCTAGCACTGGCCACACAGCCCAGAGACCACCTTCTCCTAGGCACAAAATTCAAACACGGGGACAGAGGATGCCACAGGCTCTAGCTCAGGTTCTATGAATTTAGATGTCACCATATAGGAAATAAATTCCAGTTCACAATTCAAACTTGTATTATTTAAGAAAAGATACAGCCTGAACTGCATAGTGAGACCCAGTCTCCAACAAACAAACAAACAAACAAAAAGAATATATAACATAAATGTGTAGTGTAAAATAAATACTTCTAAACTGAATAACCCAATTGAGAAAGGACTATTTTCAGTTATTTTTGATCTTCATGCGCTGCTGACCACCAGTGTGCTGTTTATGCCAGAAATAATCACTTTTTACAATTTTATGTTTCTTTCTAGTTTTTATGATTTTTACCACATGTGTCTGTACCCCTTACATGTTTTGGCTTTGTACATATTATAACATTTTATAATTACAGTCATACTACTTGCAAAAAAAGAAAGAAAGAGAGAGAGAGACAGAGAAAGAAAGAAAGAAAGAAAGAAAGAAAGAAAGAAAGAAAGAAAGAAAGAAAGAAAGAAAAAAAGAAAGAAAAGATAACACATTCAAAGCTGAGTTACCGAGTTCAGAGCAAAGCAAACTGGGGCAAAAGCAAAATCACACCGGGCTGCTGAATCCCGTGCCGTGGGCGTGGAGATGCGCTCGCCTGACAAATGGCACTTCCTGCACCGTGGCTTCCTTCCTGCCCATCTCTACCTCAAACCATCCAGTCATCGCACCCGGGAAGCCCAGCCTTGACAGCTCCGGGTCTGCTCCTCGGCCTGCCCACGACCTCCGCTCTAGGTCTTCGTCCACGCCGCTCCCACTCCTACCTGCTCGCCCTTAGAAGGAAGACCTCCCCTAGGCTTGACCCTGACGCTCGTGTCACTCCCTTTTCCTTACACAACCACCTCCTCCGCTGGGCCCGCCTGTGCTCTGCAGCTCCGTCTTCCTCCTCTCCCGCACTCCCAGACAATCGTCACGCTTCGCCCACTCTGGTGCTTCTCTTCCTACCATCTTACCTACCGCCTAACAAGGCTTTCTGCAGACATGAAACCCAACAGCCCCTTTTCTTCCTGCCTTCTCATCTCCACGCCTCTCTTGCGTTCTAACCCCCCCTTACCCTGTGCCATCTTCCCGGCGGACCCCGAGTTCTCCGGGCCTGGCTCCAAACCTGGCGGTCCCGTCCTGGCGCTCTCTGCGCTGCTCCGCCCGGGTCATCACACTAAGCTGCTGCTCAGAGCTGAGTCCTAGGCCACGTCAAGCGCACGTCCTGCCAGCAGCTCAAACTCCATAATCTACACTGTATTCATCCTTCCTGTTGTTTCTGCTTCTATCCACTCTCAATACGGAAGCCGGAAGTTCTCCCTGAAACACTTCTCTGCTGGCCACTGACTTGCCTCCCGAGTGCTGCCATGGTCACCCAGTCCCACCCTGCACTCCACGGCCTCCGCACCTCTCAGTTCACTTTTCCCTGACTCGCAGAAGCTGCCCGCAGATGGGGCCCATCTGCGGCTTCCTGCCTTTCCAAGCTACGTAAAGGACAGCGGCTGGGTTCACCAC